ACTAAATTCCACCACGATTTACTTCCCAACTCTGATGGGGGCAGTTTAACCTTTTCGTGATTAACAGAGGTGGCAAAAATGGTCTCGCCTAGGACATAATTTTATAATAAAAAAATTATTCCTTACATTTTCAAATACTTGTTGGTGTGCAAATTCAAAATCAAAAGTTTATTGAAATCTATCATTTATTCAATTTCGATTGGAACTAAAATCCTAAATTTGTTGTGTTTCATTTAATTTATTCTCTTGAAAGATATTTTCACTTGGGATGGGATAAAATTTTTGAACGTTCTATAGTTTATTTTCAAATGAAAAAACTGACCTTTTGATTAAATAATTAATTGAAATAAAAACTCTTCAATTAAGGCCAATATTTAAAAAAAGGGAATGAAGATTTCGTAAAAGCTTTAAATTAAAAAAACGTTTTTGTACTCTCGCTAAATTAAAATTGATGAGGTTGCCAATGTTTTTAAAATACACAACTTCCTGAAGCCTCATTATTTTGCAGCGCGGGGCTCGTGAATTTTTAAACTGTGCAAAACTTCCGCTCAAATCGCTTGAGCACAGCGGCAGGTAAAAGCTCTGGTTCCCATGCGGATCCCCATGCTCTTGACATTGCAATCGATCCGCCTTTCGGCATTTATATTTTTCACCTCTCTCGCCCGAAAAACGGAAACTTTGTCAAAAGTTGCAGAACGAATTCTTCCTGGCGCGGAAAAAAGGAAAAGTTTCTGTAGAGAATGTGGCCGCGCCGGCGATGAATTATATTTTTCTTGAAAATGCTCCCCAGCCGGCCGTTCTTCTTATTTTTACGCCCATTATTTTATATAATATAAATTTCGCAGCGAAAACGAAATTTCCTCTCAGGTGGAAAAAGCCAATGGTGTAAATTCGGTCGTGCCGCCGGGAAATTCTTTGTTTTCCTCTCGCTCGGAATTCACAAGTGGAAAACGTTTATAAATGGAGCACGTCGCGTGAATTTTGAATAGTCGCGCGAATTACGCCGTAAAGTCTTTCGCCTCCTCCGCGCACTTTTCCCGGTTTTAATTCGGAAATTTGTGTTCTCCTTTCCGCGTGGCTGGCCGCGCGCACCCCCATTGTTCAAATTTTCCGTTTCGCTCCGGCAAAATTTCAGCTGAAATCAGCTCACAACCTGGGAAAGTTTTAAAGCTCACAAAATATGTTTTCTGTTTTAAAGTTGGAGAAGAACAGTGTAAATTGAGTAGAAATAAACTAGTTTGAAACCGCTTTGTTAATTTAATGTTGCAAAAATGTAAAAATCTATGAATTACTTCATTATTTTCAAATAATTTAGGATAAAATGTTTCATCCTTTTCTTCAAAGCAGTGTAATTTTGACTTAATTGCTTTATTTATTTATTTTTTTAATTGGTTCCAAATCATATACTGTGATCTGTGATATTTTCATTTTTCATTAAAACCTTTTGTTTGAAAAAGTTCCAATAAACATGTCCAAATTCTTTATTTTATTTTCTTTACTTTTGCAAAGTGCTTCAATTTTTTTAAATTTACATGCAAATTATTTCCCAGAAATTTCAAGAAGAACCTTCATTTAAGGTTAGAATAATTAATTTTGAATGCATTGAAAATTCTGCTGAAAAGCTGATGCAATTTTAAAATTACTTGCAAGCTCTTTAAGGGGTCGAAATAAAAATAAAATTATCCCTCATGAGAATTTAGATCGCTATAAAAATCTCTCTTATAAAACTAAGATTAAGGGATTGTTTTCCCCTGCGGAAGTGCACGCAAGAATAAAATGAAGAGCTCGACTTGTTCGGAGCGAGAATCCTTGTTAAAAACAAAATTATGACACTAGTGCTTGCAGCTTGGGATTATTTCCAAAAAATAAAACTTGTTATTCGCGCGGGGGCTGTGTGCGATTTGGTCTAGCTGGGAGCGTCGGTCTTTATATTATTGTCTCTCTTCTGCGCACAGATTGCAACGGCAGTTTTTGTTAATGCGCTGCTGCAGAGAGACGAGAACATAATGGGGCGCAAGAATAAGGCACCAGCAGCTTTCAGGGTGTTCCCTTTTCATTCCGAACGAAGCGCTTTGTTCCTCGCTCCACTGCAGGCTGTTATCTCGGCGCAAAAAAAAGACCCACAGATGATTAAGAACAAGATAATGCAGGTGGTGACCACGATAAATAACTTGTTCAAAACGGTCGCATAATTTTATGTAGTAAAGGATTTTGTTTCAAATTTAATTTCATCAACTGAAAGTGTGACTAAAAAGCTAAACAAAATTAACAAAAATTTAAAAGTTAAATTACTTTATCACTATTTGAGGTGTTTTAAGCCATTATTATAATTTTTTAATGGAATTGGAAAAAATTAATGCTTTCAAAGTTTTTTTTTTGCATTTTAGATGCAATTTCAAGTTTTATAATTTTATTTTAAGCAATATTTAGGCCCAAATAAAATCTCCTTTCTATAACATTTGTCTAATCAAATATTCAAGAAAAATTAATAAATTATTAATTTTTTTCACTTCAAATCATTTTTTATTTATAAGATTATAAGTCAACTCACTCGGCACCTGTCTTAAATAAACAAGCTCAAAATCAATACAAATATTCCACCTCTGCTGCTGATCTGTTGAACTTTCCCTTGTTGATCCACGCGATATTTATCATTTGCACTCGCGGTTTCAACAAACATGGATTCATTTCGATTCGGCAAAGTCGATGATGCGAGGCCGACTTTCGCCGAACATTTCATTAAGTGCATAAATTTGTACAAAGAGGCGCGTCGGAAGAAGTTCTTTCACTGAACCCCAACCCTTTCCGACACAATCCCCTTAAGGCGTCATTCTCAATTAATCCCTGAATTCATCCTCCCTCCATCTCTCATAAATAAATTGCGATATTCTGCGCTCCATGTTATATATTTGTTTGCTCTTGAAATGCAATATGTTTGTGTGTCTGAATGTGAGAGTTTGAGAGATTGTGTGGTTTCCTGAAGAGCATTATTTGGCGTGTTCCCCAAACTTTTGGTTGCACTTGAAAATGAAAATCTGCGTGAATTTTCTCTTAATGGATCACAAATTGATCCGTCTGACTAAAACATTAAGTGCAAGTTTCTTTCAGATAATTTAATGTTTAAAATAATAATTCAGATAAAGATGAATAATTGAAATGATTTGTATTTTTTGAACTACAAAATCTGCTTTTTTAGGCTGTTTTAGGCCATAGTTATATAAAGAATCAGGAAATTTTACTGATTTATATAAAAAAAAACTTGATTCAGGCCGAATATAGAATTGATTTTTTTTAAATATGAATTCAATTAATCATAAATTTTTCATGCATGAACTTTACAAATATTAAGAAATTGAATCGATGATAATTTAATAAATTCAATATTTTTAAAATATAGAATTGAATTAATTAAATGCAAGTTGAAATCTTAAAAAGATAATTTGATTCTAAAAAATAATCAGTTAGAAACGTTTAATTGAAAAAATTTGTATTGTTTTTAATTGTTAACTTCAATCTGCTTCATTTGGACTTATACTAAATTACAGCGCTTGATTCGCTGCGAATTTCATTGAGTTATTAATAAAATAATTTATATATTATACAAAATCCAGTTATAGAATTGATAAATTAATCATTAATTTTTTTTGTTAATATGCATGAATTACACACAAAATTAGAAATGAAATTGAAAATTGAAATTTTTTTACATCAATTTAATATTTTTGCAGAACTATTTTGGTGAAAACTCAAAATAAGACGGAGGGCAAGAGCAATAAATTTCCGCTGATGAAAGTGAAAAAAAAATGCCACACGCAACGAGTCCTAAAATAAACGCCGCGAAAAAGCTGCAAAAAAATTATCAAACAGATTTAGTTGGTATATTTGCATTACTTGAGGCCATACATCATTTCCCGATATACCTCCCAGCTGCCGGCGTCTGGTTTAGTTTTCAAGTCGGCGCCCAAGTAATAAAAGAGTTTTTGTCTAAACTTTGTTGTCAGCACCGAAAATAAACATTTCGCCGCTTTACGCACTCGACCCTCTCCAACAAGACATTAGCGCCGCGTTAAACTTGGCAATTCAAAAATTAATCTGTTTTGATTATCGCAACTTCATTTCTTAATGTTTGCATACAAAATTAATGTTTAATTTTTTATACAAAAATCAATTATTAGTTTTTATTTTTATTAAAATTATTTATAGGTTAAGTTTTACTCTTTTGAAATCCATTTAATTGCAAAGTCAGATTGATGCATAGAAAGAAAAATTCTGAAAATTCACGCAGATTTGAATTTTAATTACTATAACCACTTAATTGAAACTAAAAGTTTGGGGAACATGCCAAATAAAGGTCTTCAGGAAACTGCGGAATCTCCTTACAATCAAGACATAAAAATCAACATAAATACACCTGATAAATACTACAATTTTACATGTCAAATTGGCGGTGAGTTGATGAGTATAAAATTTTCTACTTATATTTCATATTTGCCAACGAAATAACTCATGTTTTTTTTTCAAATATAAATTTATTAAATAAATTCAAACAAAAATAAATAACTGAGAATGCCAATTTCGAAACTCATAGAGATGAAATTATGCATTGACGCTCATTTGGCTTTTATTATGACTTGTGAAATTCAATTCAGGAGAAAAAACAGATTTAGTTTGGAATTTAGCAGACACAATTCTCTTTTTTCATGAATAATGCGCAGTGATTGCTGGTGGCAAAATTTTTCTCCCAGTTTTGTATGAGCAACAGAAATATTTGGCATTCCTCGGAGGAAAAGCTTTTTCAGACTAATTGTAAGAGAAGGAAGAGGTATTTCGTATTTCTATACTAGAGGATTGGACTACGCATGACACGTTATGTACAAACATGTATGATCCTGTTTTTCCTCCGTGTGATCTCTCTCTTCGTGGCTCGTGACGTCATCATTATCTTGAAAAGGAGAAGGGAAGGAGATTAAGGAGACGTTTTTTGCTGCTGCACCAGCAAGTAGCAAACTGAGAGCAAACAGTCTGCATTCAGAGACGAAATAAACCAGGCGAAATAGCTGCCTGTCTGTTATCATCCTGTTGTTTTGCGTCGATTGTTGGGAGTTGCGGAGATTTGTTGCCCTCACCGGATTTTCACTTTCGATCGAGCATTCAAATTTGAATTTCTGCTTTGGCGAAAGATCCAGAAAGATGTCCAGCTCGCTTTTCGTGGCCGATGGAAAATTTTCTCCCGAGCTCCAAAGTGTCTTCAAGTCTGTATCTAATAAGCGGTTCATTCCTTGTTTAAAAAATAAATTTTTCAAGAATTTTTGAGTCATTCTCTTTTATCCTTAGCTTTGGGCTAATTACAAGGCCCCACCAAGCTCGACGAAGCAGATATCCAAGTTCCGAATTCACCAATGACGCTGTCCTGGTTGCCCAGGCCGGCAAGGAAATGGCCCTGGCCAAGTGGGAGGCCATCCAGAAGGGCGAGTCCGCTGACTGCAAGTTCCTGGTCGGATCCGAAGACTCGGCTGCAGAGGTTTATTTTATACAAAAAAAAAATGATCTTATTTCTAATCGAAATTTCCCAAAATTTCAGTTGGTTTTCGGCTCAAAGGTGGACCTGATCTCGAGCAGCCTGTTCTTCAAAGCCGCCCTGAAGGGTCAATTTAAGGAGCAAATTCAGTCCAACGAGCCAATCAGAATCGATTTCGTCGAGCCCAAGATCTTCAAAATGATCATGGAGTGAGTCTAAAGAATATCTTTGTTTTAAATTCTAGTTTAAATTAAATGCAGGTTTGCTCACACGTGCCACCTGAACCAGAATCCTGTGAAGTCGTTGGAAGATGCAATACGGCTGGCCAAAGCTGCAAACTTGTTCTTGATGCCTCCGCTGGTGATTCTTGGCACAAAATTGATCAAGAAAAGTCTGAGCATTGAAAACGTCTGGAAAGCCCTGAATTTGCTTTTGCCTGAGAAAAATCTGGCTTCGGTTTGCGACTCGGTCAGTTTTAATCTTTTAATTCTGCATTAGAAAAAGTCATCAGAATTTTATGAATTAATACAGATTCTGTCGATGAGAACATTGGAATGTCTGAAGCAGCCGACCTTCATGGGCATCAGCAGGGACAGTCTGCAGTACATCTTGAGCATGGACACTTTGAACATTCCGTCCGAATACCCTCTGGTGGAAGCTTGCGCCAAACTGGCCAAAGAAGAAAGAGACTGGTACGAAATCTTTAGCTTAAATTATTTTAAATTCTAATCAATTTCATAAGGTCCGTGATGGACACGGCCCTGCCACTTCTGCGCCTCCTCACCCTGGAGGCCAAAGAAATCAACTTGCTGGCCGAATATCTCACCGACTTTGAGAAGAAAGCGATCGGCCAGTGGTTGGTGTTCAATGAGGTGCCCGATGTGGCCGGGAGCAGGTTGTGCCCCGAAGTGACCCCAAGGAAGAGACCCGTCACTTTCAGAAATCGCAGGTTCGGCGAGTTTGAGAATCAAGAACCTCCTCCGTCATTTGCTTCGCTGAACTGCAATTCAGCATTTAAGCCACAGTTCGTCAACTTTAAATGAGCAGAGAGACTGGAAAATAAAGTTGACAATTTTATTACTGAAATTGTTCAATCTTGCAGTACACTTAAAAGTTAATACAAATAATGTGAGATACACCAACATAGGATAAGTGAAAGAATAAAATTTAAAAGCTGTTTTGTAGAAAGAAGTTAGTTGGATGTAGTTGAAACGAAATAACTTGTTCTTAAATTATTCTATTATTGGTCAGCAATATTTAGTCTTTATAATTACCAATATTGTGTTTATTACTAATTGTAATTTTTTCAACATGAAGGTGATTTTGTTTACAATTGGTCATTTAAGTTCAAGAAAATATTATATTTTTGCATTGTAAATTTACTCTCAATAGCTCTAGTTTTCCTGAATGTGAAGGAATTTGATTTCTGCTGTAGGTATTGATTAAATCAGATTAAATATTAAAAATATCGAGCTTTATTACATTGTGTTTTTCCTTTGTTTATTTTATAATTGAAAAGTGGCTCAATTTAAGTTATCTCTTCAATAGAAACTTAAAACTGCTTGCTTCCTCTACATCTCACAAAACTCTTTTATTGTTTGTTTTCAAAATGAAACGCAGCTTTTTTTCCCAGCAAAAATTTGTTTAATCTTAATTTAAAATCAACTGGAAAGAGATGGTCCATTTTGTATAATTATTTCAATAAAACTAATAAAATCTTGGATATTCGCTTGATATAGGGATGATTGTATAATGTGCGAAAAGTTGTGGCGGCGCAGGTGGTGCCGCGGGCTGGTGGCGGCCGCGCCGGCAACTGCGCGGCCCGGTGCAGCGCGCGTGCCCCGTGGGTGGGCGGCGGCGCCCCTTCCGCGGCAGGCAGACCCGCCGCACTTGGCTCCCGACGCTGCTGCAGGCAAGTCGCGCACCTGCCGCGACCCTTTTCAGACACTTTACTGTGGTGCGAGTGAGTGAGTGAGACTTCTTTTAGTTCTGCGCACCACAAAGGACATGTGTGAGGCCGCGACGGACACCTGCGGATAGAAAAACACTCGACTGGACACTTTGCCGCAGGAGGAGGAGATTCGGCCGCCGAAATGCTGTTCGTCGTCGCTGCGCTGCTCCTTCCGGTTCTCCGCGTGCAAGGTACAGTGTTATTTTTTAATTTCTTCCGCGATGTGGTTTTTATCACGTGGGAACCGCTCCACTTTTATATTCGTACACGGACCATTGTTTTCGACGATTCTCTTCGCATTTTGAAATATACGAGCGAGAGAAAAATAATGAAAAGAGAAACTTAAAAATAAAACTTAATTCTAGTTCAAATTACAATAAACAAGAACAAAGTTTAGAAATTAACCATGACATGAAACCTAGTTTACAAAAATTTTAAATTTTTTTTTGAACTATAATTATTTTGACTAAATTTAGAATTTTTAGTTATGGAGTCTTTCATATAGTTCTGGATTAATTGCGTTTCACGTCAGATTGTATCTCTGTTGTTTTTGAACGGCCGGAAACGGTGCATTTGCTGGTGGCAAAGTGTTAATTTGTTTAAAAATTAACAGGCCGGCTTTATCGATTTGATTTCTCTCTCGCAGTTTGACCCTTTGGCTGCTGCAATTCACTACTTTATTTGTGTTTCGACCGGTCTGTGCTTGTAAGACTTCTTCTTCTCACTCGGGGCAGCCAGGCAGAAAGTATAATATGAAGAAAAAAATTCGTTCCGCGCGCAAAGTTGCACCAGAGAAATTAAAACGCGAACCCTTCCTTTGGTCCCTTGGCCGCAGCGAGCATTGCTGAGTGAGTCGCCTTAACTATTTCTGAACTGCTCGAAATTAGAGAGACGACGCAACTTTGTTTCAAAAGTTACTTTGTATATATTGCGATCAAATTAAAAACTAGATTTAATACTATTTTTTAATGATTCTCTTTGTTGCTAGACTTGGTGGAAAATTAAAAAAAAAATGGGAAAACTTTTCATAACAAGCGTTTCAGTAAACATCAAAGTTTAATTTTTAATTTTTTTTAATTATCCACATTTTTTCCGTAATGTGTGAATTAAAAACTTAGGACAAATTTTCTACCCTCATCCTTGTTATCATTATTGGCGCGTCAAAAATTGCTCTGAATCATTCCAGAGGCGCCTGGGGCTGCTCAAGTTTTGTTGGAATTTCTGCACCAAAAATGGAGGAATTATTTCATATTTCATAACATGAGTCCATGAATTTGTCTCTCCTCTTCCATGCGGAAAAATCACGTTCAAACACGCAATCTCCACATGTTCCTTCTTTAATTCTCTTAAAATTTTTCTATTGCATTGAAAGCTTCAGTCTCGCATTCCGCAGACAAAAATTTGTTCTCTTTATTATTCCCTTTATTCATGCAACTAAAATCTAAAGAATATAATTTTGAATAAATTATAACTAATCTCTCAATTATTCTGTAAAATATTAATATAACATTTTTTTAATTTTATTGCTTACTTTAAATAGAATTTAAACTTTTAGCGCAAACTAGAAATTATTCACCTATATTTACATTGTCCTCAATTTGGAATTAATTATGTAAAAATGTTGACTTTTCCATTTCCAAAACAAAAAGCGTGTTTGGTTTTGACAGTGATTCATTGCCAGCCGCGGCATTTCAAAATTTGCATTTCGCCGCCAAGAGTGCCGCCCGCGTCTTTTGGCACATTTGACATTTCACGGTTGACTTTTGCAAGCCTCACAAATCTAGTAAAGATACAAGAAAAAAATTGATTTTAATTTTAGCCGAAAAAGAACTGTTTTTTTCTCCGTCTTTTTGGTGCGGAACCAGTTGGCATGTCATTTTTTCTGCCTTCTCGAAATAATGAGATTAACGGTGGCTGCGGATTAAATCTCGCTTTGCAACGGAATTGTTTATTTTTAAGAGCCAAATGAAATTTATAAATTAAGGGGAATTTTAAGGGCAGCTTTTCCAAAATATTTGAAATTCAAAGCAATTTAATATAGAATTTTTGGAAAAACATTCTCCGAAAAGAAGAAAAACTTTGTCCTTTTTTGCAGTCCCTTTTATGCTTTTACACTGGGCGGCGAGGTGTGCTTACTTTGGGGGTTGTTTTGTCGAGATAAAAGAGACCGCAAAATAACACACTCGGCGAGAGCTTTGCTAGTGGGATTTTCATCCCTTGGAACAACACAAAGAAAAGTCGGTGGGGGTTGCGAGAAAACTAAATGACCTCTCCATTAACAAGGGCGCACGAGCGAAACTTGGGCCAAACGATCGCAGTGCATGTCTAGTGTGAATTTCCCGCTATTCAAATTATGTCCATTGAATGAATCACAAGAAGAAGGTTTACATCTGAAAGGGGTAGAAAATTAGGCCTGATTTTTTATGCCATTTGGCCTATCGCGTTGACTGATGACAGATTATTATTCGGTCCAAAACGGCGCCTAGTGAAATTTTTATTCCCAGCACACTCTGGGATTAATAAACGTAAGAAAAGATTAATGACGATTGTTCTAAAAGGAAAATTTATTCTCAAATTTTAGACCGGCGTGAGTGGCGTAGTGGTTTGAGTGTTAGGCTACCAATACGAAGGTACAGAGTTCAATATTTTGACGTTGTTAGCGCGTCAAAAAGTGCTCTGTATCATCACTCATGTTCGGGAGGTGTCGCAAGACGCCGAACTTGCCTGCTCGAGGTTTGTGCCGTTTCCTCGAGTTGTTGGAATTCCTGCACCAAATGGGGGCATTTCATAAAGTCCAGCGGCACCTGGCTAATTTGGTAGGCTTTCCAGCCGATAAGCACCGAATGGAGCTTGGCAGGATCATAGTCTCCAAATGAATCACAAAGAAAGAAGAAATAAAGTCGAAATTCCTGTACCGAATTATTTTTATCTAAAAAATATTGAAATATTTTATCATTCTGTGGCTCAGATTCTCTGCAATTGCAAATCAAGCTCATTTTTTGTATCATGAGTGTTCATATTTTACATCTTTAAATGCCCAAGTAATGAAAAGTCTTCATATTTCGTCAAATTCCATTAAATGGATTAGAAAAAGGGTTTACTAAAACTGCTGTTAAATTAATTTGGGTGAAGATTTTTCAATTTTCTCGGCGGGAGGTTGGAACAAATGCGAACCTAGGCATCTTTTCTTAATGGTGACCAAGTTTCTAGGTCAAAGGTCATTGACCCTGGCAAAACGTCAAAGTATAAAGTTTTCCACCCCTTTAAAATAGGCAACCTGACAAAAAAATCCGAAATAGCCCAGCCCAAATATGCGCCGTGTCATTTTGCATTAGAGTGTCAAATTTCAATTTTTTTGTTAAAGCCGTTTTTAAAATAGCCTTTTAAAATGATCTAGAAAAAAAATATGTCTTCCTCAGTTTTCAGTCAAATTGAGTATGTTCTTAAAAGTTGAACAATTAGAACAAATTTTGAAGAATACTTAATTAACATTCAATTACAGATTCATGACCATCACTTTGGTACAAAAACTACCCAAAATTCTAAAATAAAGTTCCTGTATCCATTTATTTTTATCTAAAACGTATTTTATTTTTATTAGTCAGTGGCTGAGAGATTCACTTCAATTGCCAACATAGAAAATTAAATCATCTGGAATATTGTGTCGCCTGTGGCGAATTCCGAATAGTTGATTTGGGTCGGTGGAGATAGAATTTGGAAATTAATTAGCAACACGCCGATCTCCCACGCGCCCGCTTTGAGCGATGTTTGTGCACGCGAAACTGTTAATTATTCAAATCTAATTCACCGCACACAGAGCAGCGGCATCTGCAGCTTAATGAAATGAGACTGCTACTGCTGTTGGCGAAAATAAAAAACGGCGCGGCCACTCATTTTCAACCCGTGCGGGACTATTTAGCTTGAATAGGGCGAAAGTGGCGCGGCAAAGCAGCTTCTCATTATCCACAAAAGCTACCATTTTTCGCCCGCGCGCAATTAAATGTGCCGCGCCGCACTGCTGCATGAATAAATTGGCTCCAATTTTATTTTGTTATTTATTAACAATATGAAACGCAGGATGCAAAATTATTATAAATGCAATTTTTTGCGCTGTTAATTAGCACGGAGAGGAGATTTTATTGAATTAACTTTGCTGCTGCTCTCCGCGTTTTAATGAAATACAAAAACGGCTGCAACAAAGAGCGCGCGCTGTGGGAGTAGAAAATAAGTTTTGCCCGGCGCAAAAAGCGGTAATGTACTGTTTTAATGTGATTATGGAGAGGAGAAGAGACGCTTCTTCCCAGCAACAGATATGCATGGGAACGAAAATATGTAATATGGGACGAAGTTGTTGTAAAAAAATTAATGGACTCGTAGACTTGCAGGCGCGGCAAACGGTGCTTTCCGGAATTATTATTTACAACTTTGATTGTTTCTTCTCGCCAATTTCCCCTGTTAAAAGAAAGGAAGGCGCAGTTTTGCAACTTTTACGGTTCGGAACCGTTTAAGGAATTCGTTAATGATAATTTTGAGAAACTTAAAATAAATTTGTACATCATGCTAAATCATTGTTATTTTCAAATTAAATTCTGTTTCAACTTAAATTTGCTGATTATTAAAATAATTTTAATTATTTTAAATCAATATAAGAACCAAATCAATCCACCAAAGTGAAAATATTCTGATTCTGAATTATTTGATTTGATTATTTGAAATTTTTTATTAATTTTATTTATTTTTGCACAACAAACGCTTTTCACGTTTCCCGAACTTTTTTAGGGTAAAAATACGCGTGTTATTCTTTTTTCTTCTACCAATCAAAAATCAAATTATTCTCTGCGAATCGCCTCAGCTCGCGGTTACAATCTGATATTGGCGTGGCCTGCTGCCGCTCCACCTCATCAACTCAAGCAAACACAAATTGATTGGAATAAAAAGTAAACGCGGAGAGAGGCTGTAAAAGCAAATAGGTCGACGTGCGAATCTGACAGAGCAGGCAAATCCACTCGGAGAGCGAGTTGCAAACAATAAAACTGATGAGACCGAGTTATTTGGCCCCCGAGCGACGCAGCCACCCCCGATACGTGCAGTACGTGACCGAGGGTTGCAGCAGAAAAAAAACAGGATCTGATTTGAATGTGCGGAGCCGTCATGAGATATGTTTCGTTTTTGGAAAACGTGTTTTATGGAT